ACAATATATATATATAATATTATCAAAATTGTGTGTTACATCGGATGTAGATCATTTTCTTGACATAAGGAAATCCGCAGATCTGTGACCCTGGAAATTTTTAACAAAATTCACGATGGCTCGTGATCTATCAATCAGAACTTAACGATTAGATAAAATAGGTTTCGCATAACAACTATAACTGAGACCTGGCTTATATAAACATCTTGAATGGCAAATATACTGTATCTTAATGGACAACTGTAATTTGGATAATATTTCTTAGCCACTATCACAATTATAAATAAACAAAAATATTGATTTCATGAGCTATAATTAATAAATATTTCTTCAAGAATTTTTAAGCCACACTAGATATTTTAAATTCAACAAATTTTTGCTTGATTATCGTTCAACTCATTAACGGTTATTAGTGTTAGAAGGTAAATTAGATTATGTCTGCATCAACTAGTCAAAGTGAACATATTGTCGAAATAGAAAATAAAGAAAAGGAACACGAAATCAAAAATTATGAATCTGTAATCGAAGAACATTGTCCTGATGGAACTGAAAAATATTTTGCAATTAGTCCGGAAGACGACTTTTTGGTTGAATTTAAAATAGTAGATCTTGGTAAATGCTTTGCGAGATAATTATTTAAATAATGATTTGTACTATTAATAACAGGTTAAAATCTTTTAAATTCTCCAGATTCTTGGGATTCTTCAGATTCTTCGGATTCTCCAGAATTCGAATTAAAAATGTATGATATTATAAATTTGAAGAATGAAGATGGCTTAACATCAGAGAAAGATTTGAAACCAGAGAATGACTCGAAATCGGAAAAAGATTTGAAACCAGAGAATGAACCAAACCTTGGGGATGAACAGGAATTATCGTACAGGAAATTCTCCAGGATTCACACCACCAAATTGCCATTTACTGAAACGCAGATCAGTTTGATAAAGAACGTTCCTAAACCCATAGTAAGGTGGTCCGTTGCTGTGTCAGACAAATCATCTAACTCACCGAAATTTAGATTATTGGCAATATCTTGTATCAGTATTAAAGACATGGAATATTATAAAGAACATTATAAGAAAATAGGACCTAAAGAAATTCAAAATATCCAAAATAATGGATTTACCTTCGTTTTCATTATTAATAATGATTGTACAATTAGTAATCCTGATGATAAGGAGTTACTAATTAAATGCGGTGGAATAGTCAAATTGTTTTATGAAAAGGATTATATAGCAGATCAAGATGCTGATGGTCACTTTCTTATTCTCTTGATACTTTCAGGAATATATAAGTATCATGTGAAGAATAAATCTACTTATAACATACAAAAGTTAAAATATCCGAAAAGAATATATAACAGAATTATTGCCAATGTAACTCATTTTTTTGATTCTGAGTTTAGTTGTAAGGGCGTATATTATCGTATATGCAAATATATTCATGCATGCATGAATAAGCATTATTTTCTGGTCGATACTTTAAAAGAAGACATCAAATATTTAGAACTTTATGATTTAAAGACAAACCAATTAGTAAATATCTTTCAGAGACAAATTTTAGGTAATTCGAACATGTGGGAGTATCCTAGTTATTTCGCCATATCAAACAATGGCAAATTATTAGCATATTTATCATTTCCAATTAGAGGAATCACAATATATTCGATCGAATGTGGTTTAGAAATAGCAGAACTTGCAAATATTTTAGATACAAGCATCTTTAAAACTGCAGATCATAACGATTTGATGTTTCTTTATTTTTTTCACAATGACGAGAAGTTACTTATATATTTTTCAGAGTATGGATATTCATCTTCGTATGAACCTTTATCTTCATCATCTGTTTGGGCTGTTTGGGATATTTTCAGTTCATTACGGAGTTCTGTTAAATTAACTCGGCAAAAATTTATATTAAACATTCCATCAATGTTTAGTCGAGTAGAAAAATCAAATTCATGCATTGTCGTTTATCAAAATAATAACACTCATGACAAATTGTTTATTTATGATGAATTGGTAGTAGATAAATATTTTAAATTAAGGGAAAGTGATAAACAAGATTGGATTACTCGAGATTTTGAAGATCTTAATGAAAAATCCGAGTTAGAATTAGACAAACTTGATAAACTTTATGAACCTTGGTTACCTATAGCATCTGACGGTATTAGATCACCTAAAGAAGATGATATTCAATATTCGTTCTATCTTGATAAAAAGAAGGAACGACTACTTATAATCGGAAACCATACAGTTCAAGTTTGGTATAGAGGGACTCTTAAATTCATTCATTCTCCATCTCCTTTTTTTGATGTACCCGATTTCTCTGATATAAATTTTAATTGGAATCCCAAAAAAATTAAAGTAATAGGCATCGAGTATTGTAGCGAAAAATTCAAATTTAACATTCAAATTGAAGATAATGAAGGAATTAAACAAATTAAAATGGAAGATGAAGATGATATTATGAATGTAGCAATATATGCTTGTTATACACTCGAATATTTCTCTGTTTATAAGAAAAAGTTTGAACAGGGTTATGATAAGATGGAAAAACAAATTTCGATGATTTCATTGAACAAACGCGAAAAATAATTTTGAAACTTATTAGATTGCATCCAACCGAATGGAGATTGTTAGATATTCGCTTTGACTTAATGAGCACTCTTATAAAAGCAGGGGAACGTGAACTTGTATATTACATTTTATTTTTTGGAGAACCGATCCATATACCACATTTCCCTTGGTCAGGTGAAAAAAATAAAAGTACGACGATTCGTACTGCTCTTTCGGGTTTGTATACTTAAAATTATTCAAATTACTTGTAAAATTACTATGCGAATTACATAAAAATTAATATTTTATTTGCTTATTGAAAGATAATACTATGTTGGCATGCTTTTTAGAATATTATTCTAATAATGCAGTTCATAATATTGGATGGATGAATACAGTTGTAGACATCATACCAGAATTATTTAAGAGTAATGAAGGAAATGAAATAAAAGAAAAGCATCATTCTAATAATGCAGTTCGTAATGTTGAATTGTTTAAAATTACAGAAAATAGCAAAAATGAAAAAGGTGATAATATTTATGAGAATGAAACGGGTTTAAAATCTGATTAGCTGTAAATTAATTTTATGAACCTTTCTTTTCCTTCATATAATAGAAAATTACAAATATTATGCTCAAAAATTGTTTTATAGTCACTGCTTTTGTGACAAGGAATTTGATTTATTATCTTTTGAAATTCTTGAAGTTTCTCCAAAGTCCAATGATTTATTGAAAGTTTATATACCTATTACACAATTTATTCCACAAAATTCCGAGTTGGATTTACAAGAGATCGAGTATGAAAATAATCATTTACTTTTAAATGTTTGTTGCATTTAATTAATTCAATTTCACTTAAATTTACTATAGTTATGACAAATTTGCCAATATTCGGATGGTACCTTTACCGAATTTTACAACGAACAAAAGAATGTCAGATATTAAAAAAGGAAAGCTTACAAAATTTCTAGAAATTTTATTTTCTCCTAGTCGATATTTATCTCCTGGAGAAGTGGATCACAGTCCCTTTATTAAGTTCATAGAAACAGGTGAACGTGATATTTTATATGAAAACCCATCAATGGGAGCTGTTATAAATTGGATGTGGTATTCTTCTAAATTCTATTGGCCTAAAACCTTATATATTTTTGCCTTGTACTTTATAACCTATTCAATTGTTTCTTGGGCATATATTGCCCATATTCAAATAACTGGTACACTTCAGCACATTCTGATGATTACAACAATTGTATTATTTTATTATTTATCATATTATCACATAGTAGTTGAATTAAAACAATTCTATCATAAAAGAAAGCAATATTATTTAGACCTTTTAATCTGGTAGATCTTCTATCACTTTTCACAGCAATATCTATCTTTAGTTATATTTTGATTCGCTATTATTCATTTGATAATGGGTTTAAAAATGCTGAAAGTAGTCAAATTTTTACATTTATTATCTTCTTAAGTATTTTAGTTCTTTGGTATGAGTTTGTAAGTATACACTTAACTAATTCTATATAATCGTAAAAAATTTTTTTATCTTTCATGTTATTCATTTATTTCACTTCTGTCAGATTTTACTATTACGAATATTCGAAGGTATATATGGTTTATATTTCTTTTTAATTAATGGCTGTATAACTTATAATTTTTATATCAAAATATAGAGTTTGCGCAAAATCTTAATATACTCTTTAATATTATCATTGCTCTACGACAATTTTTATTGTTTTTTATTCTAATTATTATTGCAATGGTAAGAGTTATTTATTAGAACTTTTCCAATTGATATTCTTATTAAAAACACTTAAACTATTATGCTGCACTATCAGGGACATGCATTGTATGTTTTGTCTATTTATTCTTCTATGACACTTGTTAAAGTTAAAATTTTAAAACACAATTATCAATTATATATAGATTTCTTCTTCTGGGCTATTCATCTTCTTTAGGATTAAACCAGGCTAGTGAGGAACTAGATAATCCATTTTCAAATATAATTTATGCTATACTTGCAGTATATGATTGGTCTTCAATTTCATTTGATACTTGGAATTTCTGGCCACTTACAATAATTAGTGTAATTGGTAGTTTTATCTTTGTAATTATATTACAAAATGTAATAATTTCATTCATGAGGTATATTCTTAATCTTATTATTTATTTATTAATTTATTATTATTATTATTATTATTATTATTTCTCGCAGACATCTAATTCTTTTTTTAAAAAAATAGTGAAGCCTTTTCTAATGCAGTCGAAGATAGTAAACGTGGCGTATATCGTTATCAAATTGACTTGATTCGTGATTTTGCCCATCTTGAAAAATCGTTAGAATTTAATAATCTAGATTCCAAGTTTAAGGATAAAATAATAGCAAAGTATATCTGTTTTTATGATAATCCGCGTATTACAAATTCTTGGAAAGAAACATCTGAACAAGTTAAATCAAAACCATATCCTAAAATGCAAACATTAAGTAAGAGTGGATGTGAATCTTTGTCCACTAAAGAAGATATTTACTCCCTTTTTTTCTTAGTCATTTTTATTTTATTTTTATTTTTTATATTCATTTACTGTACATGTTTTTTATTTTTGTGATAATCATTAAATAAGAAAATTCTTCAAAGATAGTCAAAAGGTAAAGCAAAATGCTTGTTAGATTGATTAACCACTAATCATCATAGAAGAGCAATTATATTTATAAATTAATTCGAATAATTATTTAACCTTAATTTTAGCTTGGTAAGTTTTTACCTTTAGTGTTTATTAAATATGTAGTTTTTACAACTTTTAGTTGCCTCCTATCTAGTGTTGCAATTCAATGTGTGAAATACGAATTTAAATTTTAGCCAATCATAATAACTCTACGAAAGAAAATGATGGCCCAAATCTTCATATTTTATTCATTGAAATAACTCTTGTTAGTTTATTGAGATGCCGTGAGCGAAGTCACGAGGCATCCATTTGTCACGAGATCATGACCCAATGAGTGAAGGTATGTGATAGTGATGATGGTGATGATGGTGATGAAATGGGTGATTAGTAAGTAATGATGTATTGGGTGGTAATGAATGTCGTGTTTGATAGAATAAGTGATGGTAAGTATGAGGTCATAGTAAATGGCTATTTAGAGTGTTGAATTGGAAAGTCTTTTGTCTTTGCTGCTAGCTCGACGAAATTCTAGCTTTGTTTTTGGTACCCACCCACCCACCACGGGGTGGGGGGAGTCCTGGAAAAGAATAGAGAGTTAGTTTTAGCGGGGATATGGGTTGATGGCCTGGGTGGACAACCAGGATATCAAATAGGCAGGTGATAGCCCAACCAAACGGGTTGGATATCAAATGAGACAGTAGTGATCGATCCTAGGAGATTAGCTGTAGACCACGTGAGCAGCAAGGCGATATCCCATATGTGTATTCCATAGTGATTTGTTTGATGTATAATTTGATGTATTGTATGGTAAAGTAACAAATTCAATTTACGATTGGCTTGAATTTTGTCTTCGATTCATTAAATGAAGCGTTAAGAACACCCTAAATAAGAAATTAAATGAGGAGCGAATAGCTTATCATAAATATTTTTATTAATGGAAACTGATTAATTTAATGAGTAAGAAGGATTACAGCTAGTTTCAAAAAGGTGTAACCAGGTGTAAACCATTATGTCATGGGAAATCCAATAAATTCCTTGATTTCCTCGATTTACCTTATTCGCAGAATCAAGGAAATCAAGAAAATCAGGGAAATCATGTGGTTTTCCCATGATATAGTGGTTTGCACCTGGTTACACCTTTTTGAAAATAGCTAAAATAAAAGGTGTCTTAAGTATTCCGATTAATGAATATTCGTTTTGCTTATTGATCACAAATAAAAGAAATTGAAATTGTTTTTAATAAAATATATTGGCTAAATCAATAAAACATAGTGGTACATATAATAATGATTTGGGCTAGGTGCTGCGAAAAGGGCAATTTTTTCAAAAGGATGTTTTTTACATAGCCCATTTTATTTTTAATAGCTTATTTTTTTAAAAAAATGCGAGTAATTTGATGAATTCTACAAGCAATTTGAAATGAGATCTATAGGAGCAAAGATTGCTCAATTATATTTTTTAAGGCAAAAAAAATGGAAAAATGTACGTCATAAATATGCAAAAATCGTACAGGTAAACTTAAATTAGGCCATTATTTTAGGCCGTAAAAGTGATTTTAATTAATACAAATAAAAGCGCGAAGACTTATAGCTTTACTTAAACTCAAATAAATTAGATTTGTTACCCTATAAAATTAATGCAGATACTATATAAAGCTTAATAGAGCAATAAATATCTATTAACCTTCATATTGATTTGTCTTAATATTAGAGTCTAACGTTTTACGGACTTAATTCTTTCGGACTATCCAGATAGCTATCTTAAAAGGAAACCCAGTATTTATCGCATAAAGTTTGCAGCAGTATCATTTGTTATCACTTTCAATAAATTCATTTTAAAGAAATAAATTGTGCCAAAGGGAATAATTACCTCTTCGAAAGAGACGTGGATTAACACAAATAAATATATTGCTTATATAGTTTCATTTGTATGCTACTCGATATGATAAATATTCCTGATGTTCCAAATATACTTTATATGAAACTACGCTAATTACAGAATTATGTTAATTATGCGATCGTATGTATTATTCGCTTTTTTTTTCTTTATTTTATTATTTTTTTTCTGACACAATATATTTCGAATGAGTTTTCGAAATGATGCCCATGTATGTTATTACGCACCTATATGGTATAGGGTGATGCGTGAGAATACTCTATAAAAACTTAATTTGTACAAAAAGTTTAATACCATCCAAGTGTAAGTCATAAAGATAATAATTCCCAAGAGTATAAATAATTATTATTTAACAAATACATTAATCTATAATAGATAGCAACGGAAATTACAGTGTGTTAATGACGAGCATTAATATTAAATTTCTTAATCACGAATATATGGGTGCCTCATATTAAAAGGCCAATTTTGACAAATTTCAAAAATTTTTTATTGATTTTTGAATACGTAGATATACATTCAATAAAAAGTTTGTTATAAATTACGAAAGCTAATTATATAACAATTAGATTCACAAAGATGAACTCAAGTTGAAAATTTTGCGTTTCTATTTGTTAAATTCGATTTACTCGATCGAGCAACAAAGCTTAGGGACAGAATAGGCCGGAGCTAGAGCTAGGCCGGCATTAAGCATAATACTACTGTATATATAACCAATTTATTGGTGAAAATTTAGGTAAATTTGGAAATTTTTATCAATTCTGGCCTATTCCGAACCTCAATCTACTGAATTTGATTACTTAAAAAGCTTATACTACAAAAAATGTGCCTTTTTAATACGCGGCACTCCATATCGATATGGTTATACGAAGTTATAATAGATGTTACACATATAATGATTGACAAACATATTCAAATTTCCTTATTTATAAATTAAATGAAATTTGCTTAAAGTTTAAAAGTTAGTATTTAGTTTTCAGGTTTACGTTGAAAAACTTTAAAAGTATTCTAGTTCAGTGATATTTCAAAAGGATGCTTATAAAAAGTCTTTCTGATGAACATATTGATTATGTTGAATTTGACAAATTTACTAAACGTTCAATAGTTAGTTCTAATGATTTTAGAACAGTTTTTAAATACGAATGGGAAGAACGTGAATTAAATGTTGCTCTTAAATGTTCCAAAATAGATAAAAATTCGGACGAAAAAAGTGTTAGAAAATTTATTGATGAGGTATCATACATTATACGGGTTTACCACAATATCCCGAAAACCATTTTCCCGAAAGAAAATAATACCGACTAAATTGACCAGCATTATAACTAATGCCGGCTAACTTTGTCGGTATTAGGTCCTTTCGGGAATCTGTCTTTCGGGATTTTGTGGTAAACCCACATTATAATACTTTTTTTTTCTTTTAATTCATTTCTAATTTCTCTATAATAACTTGTTTAAAAAATTTTAAATCTATAATTTAATTAATAAAAGCTTAAATTGTTACAAAAAGTTAACACCCATCGAAATTTCATTACGTTTTATGGAGTCACAAAAGGTATTATTAGAGATCTAGAATAAGCTGCAACTTGTAATTTTGACGAATTATGGCAATGCGCAAAGTATAACTTGCTTTTGTTCTAGCAACGTTATTTGAGGTTAGAAACTCATAATCACTGAAATTTGTCAAATAAAAAAAATTTCCAATCGCTTAAAAGTATGCAGAATTTTGGTTTAGCCAAACGACAATTCCGATAGTTTGCATATATTTATGCATTGAGTTAAATTTTTGCCGTAATCATTGTAATTACAAGCTACGGCATTATGTCCGCACTTTTAGATATTATATAATTTAGGAGTTATTAATTCTATTATATATAAAATAGACAACGTTGGCGTTTACTATATGATATTACATTATGCTGATAAGGGAAATTTACGAGAATATTTGCAAATAAATTTTACCAATCTACGATGGATAGACAAATTACATATTGCTAAAGAAATAGCAAACGGACTTAAATTCTTACATGCAAATGATATTGTTCATAAAGCCCTTGTAAGTACAGTTGTATTTATAGTATAGCTAATTTACTTATTTTTATTTTATTTATATAAATTAATTTTTTTTTTTGTTTTTTTAGCATTCAAAAAATATTCTAATTCATCAACAGAGACCAAAAATCACTGACTTTGGATTATCAAGACAAATAGATATATCAATGTCATCAAACTCTATGAATGGAATGTCAGCATACATAGAACCTCAGTGCCTTTTGAATCCTAAATATAAACGTGATAAAAAATCAGATAGCTATAGCCTTGGAGTAATTCTCTGGGAAATTTCAAGTGGAAAACCGCCTTTCCAAGGCTTTGAAACAGTCGTTGCCCTTTGTTCTCATATATTTCAAGGAAACAGAGAAGAAGCTATACATGGCACACCAGATATATATATTAATCTCTACACAAAATACTGGGACATGGAATCTACTAAACGTCCAGAAGCAAATTCAATTTTCGATATCTTAAATAATTTTATTTTGACAAAATTCAAAATGAATTTAAGTTTTCATGGATTCCCTTCAATGAATTTAAAAATCCTACAAAAATAGCAAAAGGTGGTTTTTCAACAATTTTCAGTGCATCTTGGTTTAGAGGAAGAACACAATTAGATGTAGCTTTAAAGTTAATTCACAATTCCAGCGCTTATCCTAAAATGTTTATCAATGAGGTATTTTTAATGGGATCCGATCAACCCACCGACAATCACTTTGTAGACACCCCATTTCACAGACAATTTCTTACCGACAAGTTCATTTCACCGACAGTTTATTTCACCGAAGCTCGTTTTACAGACAAGCAATTCTGGTCAATATAATTAGGGTTGGGTTAGAATTAAAGTTAAAGTCAGTGTAATTTATAAAAATAAACTTGTCGGTGAAATGAGCTTTGGTGAAATAGACTGTCGGAAAATGAACATGTCGATGAATAATTGTCAGTGAAATGTGGTGTCTATGAAGTGATTGTGGTGAAATGCTTTATAATATATTATTATTATTATTATTTACTTTATATTAACAATTTTTTGTTTTAAGTTGAAGGTTTATTGTGAAATTAGCCATGAAATTAGCCATGTAATTCTAACATTTTTAAAATGTTACGGGATATCGAAAGAAACTAATTCTGATGATTACATCATTATATTACATTATGCGAAGTTGGGTTCCTTGGAAAAAAATCTTTACAACGTGTCACGTATGACATGGAAGAATTAATTAAGCTTATTACGTTGTATAATTTCTGGCCTCAAAGTACTTCATCTTCAGGATATATTCATAAGGATTTTCATAGTGGAATCATTTTATTAGATGATATGGATAGTGCATATGTTGCAGATTTGGCACTTGCAACAAATGATGAAAGTGAAGTAATTTACGGTGTCTTACCTTTTATTGCCCCAGAGAGCTTGTCTAGTGATGCATGCACGCAGGCATTCGATATTTACAGTTTCGGTGTCATCATGGTAATGGTGTCAACCGGACAAAAACCATTTTACGATCAAAAATATGATGAATCTCTTGCAGTAAAAATCTTCATGGGATTGAGACCAGAATTCGCACCAGGCACCCCTGTTTCCTACATCGAATTATCTGATCAATGCATGGATTCTGATCCATTAAATCGACCTGATGCTGATGTTATTTTGAAGAAATTTAATCAGTGGATTGATTCAATAGAGATTGCAAAACAGTTTTTGGATGCTGACGAAATTATGCAAAAATAGGCCAGAAATCAACCACACTAGCTTCTACAATAAAATGCCAGAAATCAACCACACTAGCTTCTACAATAAAATGACCTACGCTAAAAAATTCATCTACAGCCAACATAGAAATTAATCGACGCAGTAGAGCCTCCATTAGATGATTAAATAAAAAATTTAAAGTGAAAGATAAGATTTTGCAATGACCAAAGACAATTTTATTAAAAAATAAGAATGTTTTTATTAAAATTATAACTTTAGATTCTTAAAATTCTTGGGTAACTATTTATATCATGCAAAGCTTACAATTGTTTATTTTTTTTATTGTATATTTCTTGAATAAAAACCTAGTTTTTTTTCAAAATCTCCATTGCATAATAATAAAATCTCTCAAACTTATGCAAAAATTATTTAAGAGAACTTTGAAATATGTATTACTTTCTCAATTCAAAAAAATTTGCTCTTTTTAACATAACAGATCCAACATAGGCCATTAAAGTTGGTTATTTATTAGCTAACATCATCTCCTTCTCAGCTAACCGTCCCAAACAAACTTCATTAAATGTGATAAAGATTGACCAATAAGACTTGATCAAATATTCTTGAAAATATATGAAATTCCCAACCCACCTCGTAGGGATGGCAAATGTTTTAAAACGTGATTTTAGAACTGATGATTGTTTATTTTTAATTGTTTAAAAATATTTTAAAATGTTTTTTAATCGATCTAAAGAATATGGCGCTTAATGCTGGACCCAATATTTACCGGCCAAAAATGTAATAATTTTAACTTCAGTTAAATTTTAACATCAGCTTCGATGTTTTAAAACTTTTTTTAAACATATAAAAAAATGGTTTAAACCGTTTTTTTACCATCCCTACCCCCGAGCCTGAGTCCAAAATATTGATGTTAACCTAATAATCAACTTTGAACGGCCATATCTTGTATAATTTAATAAGAATTCAATATACTGTATTAATTGTACATTCAAGTAAAAATACTAAACACATCTGTATTCTCCAAGTGAGCGCATATTTACATATATTTCCTTATCAGTATCAATTAGAAATATTTTTTGCTTTATGTTGATTAACTTAATTCTTATCAGTTTATAGAAAATTTACTTAATAAAATTTTCATGGAATCTTTGAATGAAAACTTCTGATAAAACTCAGTCTTGTGTTTTTGCTTTCTTTCAAAAACGAATAAATTTACTTGATCGTTATTCATATGATGTATTGCGTTATATAATAGGGTAAAATCTATCAAAAGTATATTGAAATTTTGATATAAAAAATTTCTATACGTAAAAAAATCTATATAAAATAACAATTTTTTAATTTGTTTAATATAAATTTATAATACAAAGTATTATTTTATATATAATACATATAATATGAACATCATTTAAAAATCACAATCCCTTAAGAAAAAAGGTTTGAAATATAAGGGGTGAAAAAATATATTATGAAATGTCAAAATCTATAATATTAATCATACCTGATTAGTGGTGAATCACAACTTTGTCAATTTTCCGGAATTTTAAAATTAACAGAATCGGATGCTATATGACATAATAAATGGTAATATTAATGCAATAGCTTAACAAAAAAACATTAATAGTATAATCACCAATTTCATCTATTGCATTAAGTTGGGCGCTTCTTTCTTTATAATGGTTTTGAGCAATATCATGGGTACTAATAAATCTGCTTGCGTATATAACATCAGGATGTTCTTTTAGAGTTACTGAAAGCTCTTGAATTCTCATATCAGCGGCCATAAATTCACCAATAATTTTTAATTTTTCATCAAATTCATTAGGTTCATCAAAATTATTAGGTCTATCAGGTTTATTAGATTCATCAAAATTATTAGGTTTACTAGATTCATCAAGATTATCCAATTCATCAATTTCATCAAAATCAGTATATTCATCATATTCATCAAGTTCATCAGATTCATCAAATTCATCAATTTGTTGAATTATAAATTTATACCATTTAGAAAGCTTAGAATGAATTATTTTAGCCATAGGTCGTTTTTGTAAATCTAAATGCATGCATGATTTCGCCAATTCCATGTAACAATTCGGTGTTTCTATAGCAAATTCAGGTCTCAATCCTTTACAAATTTCGAATGCAAGATCACTATCAAATGTGCGCCCATAAAATGGAGGTATTCCAGTGGTCAGCTCTGTCATAATAACCCCAAAACTATATGTATCAGCTGGCGATGTATATTCTTTACCTAATAAAACTTCATAGGCAATATACGGCATAACTCCGTAAATTCCATCTTTTAATTCTAATTCATCATTTTTTCTAGATAATCCTAAATCTGAAATATAGGATTTTAGTGAACCACCAGACCACGATTCATCATGTTGCAGAATATTACCACAGTGAAGGTCACAATGAATGTATCCAGCATCATGAATTTTAATTATATCCTTCGAAATATCAATTAATAGAGATAATTTATTTTCCCAAAAAAGTTCTTCAAAATTCAATGTTAGATAACTATGAAGATTTCCTTTATTAGCATATTGAAACACCATCATATATTCTTCGGTTTTTATATTTTGTGTTAGTCCATAAATTATGAGTCTGCTGCCTCTTACTCTACAATGCATATGACTTATAAACTAATAAAAATTGTATACAGTTAATTAGGAATACATATTCATAAAACGAATAATAACTTCAGCTTACTTCTTTTAGAAAATTATTAGAATTGTTTTTTGATCCAGGTAAAGTTTTAAGCGCAACCTTGATAGATTGTGGACGTTGCCAATTGGCTAAAAATACAATACCAAAACCTCCCTTATCAATCTCTTTTATTAGTTTTAATTTATCAAACGGAATCCACTCAATTGCTTTCTCGCGACTAATAGCACAAAGTTGAAATTCTTTAATGCAGTGATCAATCTCTTCATCACCACTTGTCCATTCCTGAGTTATTTTATAAGGATCACATGACTGGCACCATTTTATAGATGTATTAAATCGATTGCAATTCGTACATACGTCATAATTGCATTTTCTTTTAGAAGCAAACACATCAATATTTGTACTTTTGGACACTATCATATATTCACCGGTTGCTGAAAACTGTGTAACTCCGTATATCTTTGCTTCATTGTTTTTTATCCTCATTTGATTTGCAAGCTTATAAATTATAAAATAATTCATATTATTCAATTGTAATGAATTTACAAACAGTAATAAAGTTAACTTACATCTATTAAAAACGTCTTAGAACTAGGCAATGCTTTAAGCGCAACAATGCATGATTCCGTATGTGACTATGTGTATTTATCCCAGAGTTTATTCTCATTTACAGAAATTAATCGTATGCCATCTAACCATGTTGCTAAAAATTCGGTACCATTCTTTTGGATATTATTCAACCTACGAAAAGGAATCCACTCAATTACACTCTCATATTCTGCGGCATTAAATTGAATATTTTTAATAAAATCATCAATATTTTTATTTCCACTTGTCCATCCTTGAGCTGTTCTCTGAGGATCACATACATGACACCATGCTTTAGATGTATTATATCGATTACAATGTTTACACATTCTATACTGTCTGTTTCTCTTAAATTTAAATCCATCAAATATTCATTGGTAACCGTATTTTGAGTCATTCCATATACCTTAAGTTCACTATCCTCCATATAGTTTTTAAACTTTTAAATTGAAATATAATTCATAAATATATAAAAATAAAATATAAATAGTAAAAAGTTTTATTTTACCTCTCTTAAAAAGTCCATTGAATTCTGAGAACTAGAAAAGATTTTAAGGTCCACTAAGTATGATGGTGTTCGTGACTGTGTGTATTCTTTTAGTCTTCCTGAAATTAATCTAATGCCATCCAACCAAATTGCTGAAAATTTGTCTCCATTCTTTTGAATGTCATCCAATCTACCAAAAGGAATCCACTCGATTACATCTTCATACTTTGTAGCTTTAAGTTGAAAGCTTTTGATACTATTGTCAATATCATTATTTTCACTTGCCCATCCTTGTGTTGCTTCATAAGGGTTACATGCCTGGCACCAAGTTTTACATGTGTTATATCGATTACAATATGCACATTGTCCATAAATCGCGTATCTTTCGAAATAAAATTCATCAAGTATTTGTGTTTTGAGTTAGTCCAAATACTTTAAATTTACCATCTTCTATATAGTTTTTAACTTATTACTGCAACATTTTTTATTCCCGGGACAGTGCATTTTTTCATCATTTGTCAATCACCCGATGTCGTGTCGGGTGATCAGCCTTATTATTGGATAAATTTAATCACAACGGTACAAAAAAGTATAGCTTATCTGCAGATCCTATGCGATGCACTCACCCGATTTGGGGTGATATATCGCCCGAAGTGATAAACTTTAGATAGTCACGATGCAGGGAGATATTCTTAATAAAGCTCTCAATAAAATTATATCAAATTTGATTGCTAATAAGGTAGTTGCGCAACATTATTGTGCAAAGCAAGAAACAAATGAATATTGATAAATTATTTATATACGTATGTATATAGGTGACCTGAATTTAGTATTTATATCAATATATAGTTTCCATATAAATACGCTAAGTTTGAATTCTTGAATTATTATACAAATTTTATTATTAAAACGTTGTTCAATAGCTTTATTTTTAAAGTTAGAAGAAAGCTTGCAATGAATTGACAATATCAATATTTCTATAGAATGTATAGTAAGGTTTTAATCGGTTATGTTATTATACTTTCATATAATAATACATCAGACCTCTCTAAGTGCACGCCCTTGGCACCACACTTTAATAACATTCATTTACTAGGTCACTTAGTGATAGATCTGGGTTTGCATATTTTTATTAAGATGTAATTACAGTTTATATGGGTCAAATGGGTACTTTATTGGGGATGATAGTTGTAAGTAGCACAAAAATTGTCTATCAAGGGCCTTCACGGCCTTTATTTATAATAAAAGATTTATTATTACAAGTATAGCATAA